AGGTCGAGGGGTAACATATCTCTTTCCTATTCAAGTTAAAACCTTTGGTCCTGTATATGAAGGAAAAGATTTAATTGCTCAAGCCCGGACAGGAACAGGAAAGACATTCTCTTTTGCCATACCCTTGATTGAAAGGCTCCAAAGAAATCAAGAGACAATTAAAAAAAGCCGCTCACCAAAGGTAACGGTTATTAAGGAAGTAAAAGCTCTTAACATTAATGAGGAAAAAAAAAGTCTTGTTTTTTGTATTTTCTTGGTGCTGGGATCAAACCCAGGGCCTTGTGCATGCTAAGCTCATGCTCCTCCACTGAGCTGTACCCTAAATTCTGAGAGAATTATATTAGTCTCAAAGTCAGCTATACACCTCCCCCATAAGAGTCATTACCCCTTTTTTAAATAAAGCTAAGTTTTGATTTCTAAAGAAAAAATGTGTTGTTTTTCACATAGGGAAATTTCAAGCAAAGCTAAATTACATTGGGTAATGAGCACAAGTGTCCTGTCTCTGGATATATAGACATCTTCCATAACTTTGAGTTACAAAGTCAGTTTTCCTTAGAGAATTATTTTTATTTAGTGTATTTAGTGATTTTTCTCTTTTCATTCCTGACCTTTGCTTACAAATAATGAATTTTCCAATGAGGTATTTACTTGGTGATTCAGTAACTATTCAAAATTATTTCACAGGTTGACTTTTTATGAAGAATATTACACCAGTGATGTTGCTATTATTGGGTACTAGAGCTATGTCTTAATTTATAATTAGTAAAAGGAGTTAACAGAGAACTAGTAGAACTCTAGTCTACAATTTGACCCTTTAGAACCTGTGCACTCTAAGGTTTGTAACAGTGGAGAAGCGAAGTCATCCTAGTGATTTGAACAGGTGCGTTTGTGCTGTCAGGTACTCCTAATGCTGCAAAGTCACACATGTGTGTGTGGGTAGAACGACATCATGGGGGCTGAGGAGCCGCTGTCATACCTATCGGCTGCGTTGGTTTTCCAGGATAAATTGTTTTGCTTTGCTGAAATTAGGGAAAGTTGCAAGTAATGCAGATAGGAAACAGTTGCACCCTACCTTAGTCTGTTAGAAGGCTGTTCCTGAGGTCACAGCTCCACTACTTCGAGCTGTGGGACCTTGGGCAAGACTTCACTGTTACTTAAGTTTAATGTCTATAAAGTTGGAATATTAATGCTGCCTCACCTGTTTTTCATGATAAAATCACTAATTCACTAATCATCACAATCACTAATTCATTCAAAGCATACACACTGAGTATATGAACCATCTTGACTTTGACAAATACTTTTTGAGTTTTGTTCTGTACCAGCTTCTTAAAGTACAGTGAATACAGTGCCTCTCCTGACATAAACTTTGCATTCATTGACCTTACATTTGAGTAGATGAGCTAGACAGTCAGCAGGTAGTGTACAATGTCTGTCTATAGATATATATCTGTATTTTAGGGCAGTAATACAAGTTTAAAGGAGAAGGATTAAAGAGGGACAAGGAAATCATAGAAAGGCTTAGGAACCTCCTTAAGGAAGTCTCTTCTTTTTTTTTTTTTTTTTTTTTTTTTTTTTTTTTTTTTTGCTTTTTCGAGACGGTTTCTCTGTGTAGCTTTGCGCCTCTCCTGGAACTAGCTTTGGAGACCAGGCTGGCCTCGAACTCACGGAGATCCGCCTGACTCTGCCTCCCGAGTGCTGGGATTAAAGGCGTGCGCCACCACCGCCCGGCAGGAAGTCTCTTTTATTTTTATTTGTTTTTTGAGATAGGGTCTCATGTAGCCTAGGCTGGCCTTGAGGTCACTATGTAGTTGAGGACAATCTTTTTGCCTCCCAAATGCTAGGATTGTAAGTGTGCATTACCATACCTGCTTTTGTGCAAAGCTAAGGAATGGACACTAGGCCTTGTGTATGCTAAGCACACACTTTACTAATTGAACTATTCCCAACTCAGGAAAGTAACTTTTGAAATCTGATAAAATATGCCGTAGTAAATATAAGCTGTACTTGTTGTTGATATTTATGTTCTCTGCCTCCATACCCCAGGGCTGGAGATTAAACCCAGTTCATGCATGCTAGATGATTATTCTGCCACTAGCAATCTGCCCAGCGCTGTCTTTGAGTGCTTAGGAAGTTAATGTTGAGGTTCTTTCTCTAAATGCATCTTTACAGAAATATCCTTTCAGGTTGAATTTAGATCAGCCTTTAGAAAAGATGTGTCTTTGTTTTTTAAACTTCTTGCTCAGGTACTTGTTTTGGCTCCAACAAGGGAACTGGCAAATCAAGTAGCCAAAGATTTCAAAGATATAACCAGAAAACTCAGTGTGGCGTGTTTTTATGGTGGAACATCCTATCAAAGCCAAAGTGAGTAAATACATACACTAGTCCAAAGCTGTGCTGGTTTTAAATCTAAAGAAGCCATGGGAAAGCGTCTCTCTGATTTTAACAGTCATGCTGGTTTTCCTCTCACAGTTAATCACATTCGGAATGGGATTGACATCCTTGTTGGGACTCCAGGGCGTATCAAAGACCATCTGCAAAGCGGCCGTTTGGACCTTTCAAAGCTGCGCCATGTTGTGCTTGATGAAGTCGATCAGATGTTAGATTTAGGTTTTGCTGACCAAGTTGAAGATATCATTCATGAATCCTACAAAGCTGGTATGTCCTAGTAGAAAAAAGTATGTTAGCAGCTGTTCTTTGATAAAAGCTTGGAAATTTTCATTTCATAATTTTTATTACCTTGTCTCTTGGTATTCTAACAAAATTAAATTTATTTGGTATCTTTTCCCTAAAAAAAGAAACTATCAAAGCATACTCTGAATCATCTCTTGATTATTCTGTAATCATTCCATGTAGATTTACTATTTTATCCATTTCTTGAGTTGTTCTTTCTTACATTCTTTTCTTCCTAGTTTAGTTTTCTTTTGTTTCATTTTGAAAGTTAAACAGATACATTGAGGTTTGTATGTTTTGAAAATTTGCCCCAAGTTTTTAATTTTTCATTGTTTTCTTTTGTAAAGTTTGGGGTGATTTTTAAAAGCTGGCTACATCATGGGACATGAAGAAAACATTTGAATTCTTTTTGTTTGTTTAAGATTCAGAAGACAATCCTCAGACCTTACTTTTTTCTGCAACTTGCCCACAGTGGGTGTACAAAGTTGCAAAAAAATACATGAGATCCAGATATGAGCAGGTTGACCTTGTGGGGAAAATGACTCAGAAAGCTGCGACCACTGTGGAAGTAAGTAGCTTTGCCAGCATGCAGATTTTAGCTTCTAATCGGTGTTTAACGTTTGAGGTTGAATGAAGCTGAATTCAAGCTTGAGGTATCTCCTGAAGCCTCACCTCTTTTCCTGCCCTTAGTAAGACACATGGTAGTGCTGGGGACTGTAGCTTAATGGTAGAGCACTTGTTTAGCATTTGTGAGGCTGTAAGTTCAGTTCCCAGCGCTCATAGTAAAATCAAACATACATTGTATTTCTACAGTCTGAAACCTAGGAGCAGATAGAACAAACAGGAGTGGGGGGTGAACAAGGAAGGCCTAACTTAAAAGCAGCAGTAAAACATGCTGGGATAGAGGCCAGGTGTGACAGTGCATGTGCTGAGGAGACTGAGCCAGGACGATCCTATTAGGTTGAAGTCAGCAGAGGCTACACAGTACAAGTCAGCCTGAACTACGGTGTGACACTGTGAAGAGCTGTCTCAAAAACAGTAACACATCCAAAACAGGAGAGAAGAAAGAAAAGAAGCTAACAGAAGGCAGTTCTTAGTTAATGAGAAAAGAGTATTTATTACTGGGACCAGTAAGATAGTTCAGTGGGTAAAAGGTATCTTTGGCCAAGCCTGATGACCAGAGGAGAGAACTGACTTCTGCAAATTGTCCTCTGACCTCCACACATGCACCATGGTATGCAAAAACATGCAATGCAATAAATGAGTGTAACTAAACAAACTTTCTTGGTTGGTTTTTTGAGACATGGGTTTATCTGTGTAGTCCTAGCTCTCCTGGATCTTGCTCTGTAGACCAGGCTGGCCTTAAACTCAGAGAGCTGCCTGCCTTTGTCTCCTGAGTGCTGGGATTAAAGGCGTGCACTACCACGAAGGACAAAAAAATTACAGAATGCTATGTATAGAATCATAGTATTTAAAAAAAAAAATACAGGATTCTTAGCACCTCAACAAATCAAAAACATGTAATACTCAATGGGTTTTTTTAGGTATTTATAAAGTGTAAGCCCAGAGAATGAATATCAACATGATTATATCTTGAAAAGAGGACATTGGTGTGCTAGATGGTTAGAGGAAGGATGTTCTCAAACATATGCAAAGATTGAATGGTATAACAAATATGTACTATTTTTTAGGCTTTTTAAAATCCCCCTCATATTTGTCACTTTTGCATTTAAAGTATTACCAGCCATGATTTCATTTTCATGTATGGAAGGCTGGCTTCAAATTTCACTTGATAGTAGAAGATGACCTTTAACTTCTGATCCTGTTGCTTTAATGTCCCAAGTGTTGGGATTATTGGCAAATGCCACTACACCTGGTTTCTGTGGCACTGGGGATTGAACCCAGGGCCTCATGCATTCTTCCAACTAAGCTACATCTATTACCCTACCTTGACTTCACCTCTCAAGTCTTGAGAATCTAGGCATTCGTGCAACACTAAGATTGGCTGTTTTTTGTTTAAAGCTTTATTTATTTTTATTTCATATCTATGAGTTTTTGCCTGCATCTGTGTCATTGGATCTCCTGGAACTGGAGTTAGATGGTTGTGAGCTACCGTGTGGGTGCTGGGAACTAAATCAAGGTCCTCTGGTAGAGCAGTATGCTCTCTTAACCACTGAGATCTCCCAGCCTTGTTTTGTTGAGAAGGTGTCTCACCATGTAGCTTTGGTCTGGTCTGGAACCTCCTCTGTAGACTAGGCTGGCCTTGAACTCAGGTTGCCTGCCTCTTCCTCCCTAGTGCTGGATTGAAGATGTGTACTACCTCACCCAGCTGTTTGTTGTTAACAGTGTCTTGCTATGTAGCCCAGGCTGCCCCATGTCTTGTCATCACAATTCTGTTTTGAAATGACTGGAGAGATATCATACCTGATTCCCCCCCCACCTTATATTCTTTGAAAACAAAACAAATTCGTGCTCTATTTAGTCTTCTCTGTTCTTCATTTTTCTGCTGTGTACCCCTGTCATGTTACTTCATATGTTGGTTAAATTGTGGGTTTGATCTGATTCGGGTTTTTTTGTTGTTGTTTTGTTTTTTGAGATATAGAAAGAACAAGATTTTGTCATAGGTGGTATAAATAATTTTTAGTTTTCTTTGTCCTTTTTGAATTACTTTGCATGTAGTTTATAGTTGACATATTACGTTAATTTTTTTAAAGAATAATTTAAGCCAGGGTTGGTGGTGCTTGTCTTTAATTCCATTATTGGTGTGTGTGTGTGTGTGTGTGTGTGTGTGTGTGTGTGTGTGTGTGTGTGTGTGTGTGTGTGTGTGTGGTGGGCATAGGCAGGCAGTTCTAGGCCAGCCAGGCTACTTAGTGAGACCCTGTCAAAATAAAAGAAAAAAGGAGTTGGGGCTGGACAGATGGCTCAGAATTTCTTGGGTACTACATGCACATGGTACCCAGACATACAGGCAAAACATCCACATACATAAAATAAAAATAGCTAAGTTCTAAAATTATACCCAGATGATAGGGCCAGTGAGCTAATCTAATTAATGGGTAAAGGTGCTCACATCCAACCTCATGATGACCTGGATTTGATTTCTGGGACCTGCACAGTAGAAAGAGAACTGACTCCACAGGTTGTCTCTGAGTTCTCTACATATGCACCATGGTAGTGTTCTTGTACAAGCATGCTTACACTAATAAAGAAAGATGAGCTGAATAACAAAAAAGAATACTAGATTTAAAATGTTTTGTAACCTTTTTCAGACAGTGTATTGTGTTAAATTTGTAACCATTTAGATAGGTTAAAAGGATTTTATAGTGAATATATTTAGATATATATGTAGTCAGCATCTAGATCCTATTACTAATGTTTTATTTTCATTTTTATATTATCTTTTTACTAGTTTTGATTTCTTGAGGGACTAGGAACTTGCTATGTAGCTAAGGATTGCTTGAACTCCTGATCTTTGTTTCTCATTTGCACCCTCCTCTTTATCTGTCTTTGGGGTTGCGTCTGGCTGCGTACCCTAGCTCAGCAACCATAGTCTCCTACAGTGGGGCTGCACCACACCTGGCTTGATGCTTTCTTTATTTTCTTTGTTATGTATCTGCCCAGTCCTGTGTTCACCTGGCTTTTATTTTATTTTATTCATTGTTTTTGGTGCTGGAGATTAAATTCAGGCCTGTCTTGTATATAATTCAGTATCATCTAGTATTATATTTATGACAGATAACCACACTTATATCTTCATCACCCCAAAATGCAGCTCTGAAACTTAGTGAGTCATTCCCTAGTCTGTCCTTCCCCTAGTAGGCCCTGGCAACAGTTAATCTTCTATCTCTGTGAATATACCTGATACAGATATTTCATATAAATGTAATTATACCATGATACATTTTTGTGTTTGATCTAAATTCAAATAATAGTTATTTTCATCTTCTCCCTTCCACCACTAGGGATTGGCTCCAGAGCTTGTATATATTAGTGAAATGTTCTACCATTCAGTTACATCCTTATCCCTTCTGCTTAGGTTTCACTCTTAGGCGGGCTAGCCCTGAGATTCCTAGCCAGGTATGAGTCATCAGTCCTGGTTTATACAGTGCTGGGGATCTAATCCAGGACTTCATTTATGCTAGGAAATCACTCTGCCAGCTGAGCTTACAGCCTCAGTCCCTTTAAAAAATAATTTGTGATGAAACATAATTTGGCCTTTTTTTTTTTTTTTTTTCTCTTTTCTTGAAGCATTTGGCTATCCAGTGCCATTGGTCTCAGAGACCAGCAGTTATTGGAGATGTCCTTCAGGTCTACAGTGGATCTGAAGGGAGGGCTATTATCTTCTGTGAGACCAAGAAGAATGTAACTGAAATGGCCATGAATCCACACATAAAACAGGTAAGCTTTCTTTACCTTTTCTAGATAATTGAGATGCATTAGTAGGCAAATTCACTCATTGTGGACTAAACTTGATAGTTTATTCAAAATAGAATAATTTAGTTAGATGGCATAGCAAACTTTTTCTTACCTATTAAGTCATAATAGGTTGTTTTTCTTTTCCTTCTGCTAACAGTCAAACCAGGACCTTATTTATGCTACCTAAATAGTATGCTACTGAGCCAGCCCCAAGAAATTTAAAAGTCATAGTGTGGGGCTGGAGAGATGCCTCCACAGTTAAAAATAAATACTGCTCTTCCAGAGGACCCAAGTACAGCTCCCAGCCCCCAAACAAGGCAGCTGACAACCACCTATATATCCAGCTCTAGGGGAATCTCTGGGCACCTGTACGCACTTGTATATGCCCAAACACAGACACACACAGACACATGATTAAAAGTAAAGTAAATCTTAAAATAAAAACCATAATAAAATTTGTGTTTTTGAGGTTTGTATGATATTAGGAGGGAATTCTGTCAGTTTTCATTAGAAACATTTTAAGATGTTAGTTTTGTGTGTGTGCATGCATGGACAGGCCCCCAGAGGCCAGAGGAGGACACCAAGTGTTCCGCTCTGTCATTTTCTCCTCAGTCACTTGAGGCAGGGTCTCTCACTGAACCTAAAGCTATTGCTAGGTCAGCTGCTACCATTTCTCCAATGATCCTCCTGTCCCGTCTTCACCATACGACCAGAACACAGTCATACTAGTTTTTTACATTGGCTCTGGTTTTGGAACTCAGACTTAGGCAACAAATGCTCATATCCAGTAAGCCATCTCTCCATCCCTTTTTAAAAAACATTTAAAATATGATCTAGAAAATATGAAAGTTGATATAATCAAGTTTAGTTGGTAAGAATTTTAATATTTTAAACTTATGTTATAAGAAAGAATTATAGTCTGGTAGTGGTGGCGTACACCTTTAACCCTAGCACTCGGGAGGCAGAGCCAGGCGATCTCTGAGTTCGAGACCAGCCTGGTCTACAGAGTGGGTTCCAGGACAGCTAGGGCTACAAAGAGAAACCATCTTGACTAAACCAAAATAAATAGATTAAACAAATAAGTTGTGTGTGTGTGTGTGTGTGTGTGTGTGTGTGTGTGTGTGTGTGTGTGTGTATGTATACACACGTGTGTATGCGTACGCACATGCAGTGTCAGGCTAGCTTCAGCCTCTTGAGTGTTTGGATTAAAGTTGTCCACTACCACACTGGTTCCAGAGTAGTTGTTCTTCTAAGTATAAATATGTTCATGATAGTATTCTCAGTATACTCATTCAGTGATTCCCCATTGTTCCACCAGGATGATGTTCATTTGTTCTTTCCAGTCCCAAATCTCCTCATTTCACTGTTTTAGCAGTAGTCTTATTCAAATCTTTGTAGTGTGTTTCCCAAGTAACATTTCTTTTTTTTTTTTTTTTTTTTTTTGTTTTTGTTTTTGAGACAGGGTTTCTCTGTGTAGCTTTGCGCCTTTCCTGGAACTCACTTGGTAGCCCAGGCTGGCCTCGAACTCACAGAGATCCACCTGGCTCTGCCTCCCGAGTGCTGGGATTAAAGGCGTGCGCCACCACCGCCCGGCTCCCAAGTAACATTTCTTACCCAGAGTCCTTAGCCCTAATGTTTCTTTTTTTTTTATCAGTTGAGTTCTTTTTCTAACATTTTTTTTTATCTTTTTTTTTTTTTTAAGGTTTATTTATTTATTATGTATACAGTATTCTGCCTCTATGTATGCCTGCCAGCCAGAAGAGGGCACCAGATCTCATTACAGATGGTTGTGAGCCACCAAGTGGTTGCTGGGAATTGAACCGGGGACCTCTGGAAGAGCAGCCAGTGCTCTTAACCTCTGAGCCACCTCTCCAGCCCTCATTGGTTCCTTACTATTCTGCAGACCTCAGCTTCAGTGTCACTTCCCCTTAGTGGTAGACTCTCCTTTGTTACTCTTAGGCCACCTTGCACTTGGTATAGCTGTGTCATACTGTGTTCAAAATTCCTGGCAGAGCCCTAGAACCTCCAGCTTTCCTTCCTTCCTTCCTCCTTTCACTTTATTTCTTGACTTCTCTTCTCTTTGAGAAGGGGTCTCACTATGAATCCCACACTGGCCTCAGCCTTCCATTCTTCCTGCCTCAATAGCACTCAGATATGCTGACATTATAGGTGTGTATCACTGTGTGTGGCCCAGAGCCAATTCTTTGTGACTGTTCTCAAACTGGCAATTCCAGACACATAGCAAGTACTAAGTAAATTAATTTATATACAAAGTTTGCCTGCTAGGGGGCTGGGGTATAGCTCCACTTGTAGAGTTCTTACCTAGCGTGCACAAGACCTTGGGTTCACTTCCCCAGTACAACTCAAAGTAGGTACGGTTTATATGCCATACAGTCCTAGCGCTTGGGAGGTGGAAGTAGGAGAATTACAAGTTCAAGGTTATCCGTATCTAAATAGCAAGTTTGAGCTCAGCCTAGGCTATATGAGGTCGTGTTGTTTTTAAAGGTTGGCTACTTAGGCTTATATACTGTCAGACTTTAATCATGGCTAATGATTTTTTTTTTTTTTTTTTTTTTTTTTTTTAGACAGGGTTTCTCTGTGTAACAGCCCTGGTTGTCCTGGAATTTACTCTGTGGCCCAGACTGGCCTTGAACTCACAGAGATCTGCCTGCCTCTGCCTCCTCGGCTGGGATTAAAGGTATGTGTGACCACCGCCCAGCTGCTAATGAATTTTTCACTGTAGTAGTAGGTAGGGATACTATTAAAATCTTAGGAAAAATGGGCTGGAGAGATGGCTTAGTGGTTAAGAGCATTTGTTGCTTTTCTAGAGTCCCGCACTTACATGGCAGCTAACAGCTGTCGGTAACTGTGGATCCACAGTATCTGACACCTTCTTCTGGCTGCTCTGGGCACTGCTAGTGGTGCACAAACATCCGTGCAGGCAAAATACTCCTACATATAAAACAGACTAGGAGAAAGATTCTGGCACAGATGCCAATCAGTACAGCAGAAGTAGGTTCAGCCCAATGAAAATGACAGGACTACCAGGCTGCAGAGATGGCTCAGTGGTGGAAGAGCACACTGACTGCTCTTCCAGAGGACCTGGGTTTGGTTCCCAGCATCCGTGTGGCGGCTTAGGACCATCTATACCATCTGTAACCAGAGAATCCATGGCCTTGAACACAGGCATGCCTGTGGTGCATAGGTGTACATGTGGGGAAAAGACCCATTAACATAAAAACAAATACCAACATTCGAGCAAAGCAAATTCAATGATTGCGATATAATTTTTGCCTATTAACAAGGATTATGATGTATAATAGATTGGCATTGGTGGGTAGAGTATAATTAATAAATACAGGACATTGAAGGTAAGTGGGTACAACTAATTTTTTTCTTTCTTTTTTGAGACAGGGTTTCTCTGTGTAGCTTTGGAGCCTGTCCTGGAACTTGTTCCTTAGACCAGGCTGGTCTGGAACTCACAGAGAGCCGCCTGCCTCTGCCTCCCAAGTGCTGGGATTAAAGGAATGCACTACCACTGCCCAGCACAACTAATTTTTATAATAGCTTGGCAATAACAAAATCTTAGGAGCTGGAGAGGTGGTTTATTGGTTAAGATTACTTTCTGCTCTTGAAGAGGACTCGGGCTCTATTCCCATCACCTACAATCAATTGGTAGCTATCAATTGTTGTACCTCCAGTTCTGGGGATCTAATGACCTCCTCGTCTGACCCCCATGGACACTACACATATGTGGTGCACAGACATACACGCAGACAAAACATTCCAAAACATAAAAATAGTTTTTTAAAGGATTTATTTATTTATTATGTATGCAGTGTTCTGTCTGCATGTATCCCTGCAGGCCAGAAGAGGGCACCAGATCTCATTACAAATGGCTGTGAGCTACCATGTGGTTGCTGGGAATTGAACTCGGGACCTCTGGAAGAACAGCCGGTGCTCTTAACCTCTGAGCCATCTCTCCAGCCCCATAAAAATATTTTTAATAAAAAAGTTAATTTTTTTTTCTGGGTATTGAATCCAAGGCCTTAGCTATATTTAGTAGTCCTCTTCCAACTGAGCTCCAAATATTCATTATATTTGACCCAGAAATTCAGTTTCTAGGTAAGTATGCTTCTGAAACACATATGGGCATATCCAAAGATGTAAGTAAATTGTTTTTCACTGCAGCATTGTTTCTGTGAAAATTTATACACAATACAGATGTTCATCAGTTCTTTAGTGGGATACTGCTAAAATAAATCTTTGCATCCATATGAAAACAAGTTTGTGTACCTTAAAAAATTTAGTGGAGCTGGGTGGTGGTGGCACATGCCTTTAATCCCAGCACTCAGGAGGCAGAGGCAGGTGGATCTCTGTGAGTTGGAGGCTAGTCTGGTCTACAGAGAGAGATCCAGGACAGGCACCAAAACTACACAGAAATCCTGTCTCGAAAAACCAAACAAAAACAAAAATTAGTGGAGTTTCACTTACAAATATCAAAAATGGCTGCATTATATTAAATTTATAAATTAGGTTGTAAAACAGAACATATGTAGTTTCCCTCCCCCTCCACCCTGTTTTTTTTTTTTTTTCTGTTTTTTTTTTTGAGCAGGGTTTCTCTGTGTAGCCCTAGCTGTCCTGGAACTTAACTCTTTAGCCCAGGCTGGCCTCAAACTCACAGAGATCTGCCAGCCTCTGCCTCCAGAGTGCTGGGATTAACGGCATGTGCCACCACTGTCCGACTGTAGTATCTCACTTTTATGGAGACATATTTGTACCATATACTAGTGAGTGAATTGTGTTTTTATTAGAGACTAATTTTTATTTTGTGTATGAGGATTTTCCCTGTATGTGGTATTCCTACATGCAGTACTCACGGAAGCCAGAAGAGGGCGTTAGATCTCACAGGAGTTAGAGTTCTGAGCCACTATATAGAGCCTGTGAAGAGCAGGTGCTCCTAACTGCGGAGACATCTCTCCAGTCTCAGTCTTGGGTGGGTGGGTGCGTGCTTGCGTGTGACGGAGGGAGGGAGGGAGAGAATTGGGTATCTGCCATGATGAGTGAGTGATGGTCAGAGGACAACCATGGACATCAGGCCTGGCTTTCCCCCTTGTTTGCCTAGCGTAGCTTGCTGGTGAGCTTCTGACATCCTGTCTCAACCTCCATCTTGCTGTAGAAGCTTTAGGTTTATAGACACTACAGAGTCTGGCTTTAGAAAAAATTCTGGGTAGTCAAGCTTAAGACTCATTCTTGCTGAGCAAGTACATCAACCCTGAACCATCTCCCCAGCTCTGCTGTATGTATTTATTTATTCTTGTTTTTTTTTGAGACAAGGTCCCACTATGTACCCATGGCTGACCGGGAGCTTGCATTATAGACCAGGCTGGCCTTAAACTCATAGAGATCCACCTGCCTCAGCCTTGGAGTGCTAGGATTAAAGCCACTTACCAGAACCCTGGCCTCGTGTATTTATTTTAAAAGAACAAAAATGTACCAGCCAGTTATGGCAATAAACCTATAATCCCAGTGCTCATAATGTAGAAGGAGTATAGCAAATTCAAGACTAGCCTGGCTTATACCTGCCTTAAAAAAACTACCAGGGCTGGAGAGATGACTTAGCAGTTAAGAACATTGCCTGCTCTTCCAGAGACCTTGAGTTTGAATTCTAGCTCCACAAGTCTTTAAAAAGAATAAAACTTAGCTGGGCAGTGGTGGCACACGCCTTTAATCCCAGCACACCAGAGGCAGAGCCAGGTGGATCTCTTGTGAGTTTGAGGCCAGCCTGGTCTACAAATCGAGTTCCAGGACAGGCACCAAAGCTACAAAGAAACCCTGTCTTGAAAAACCAAAAAAAAAAAAAAAAAAAAAAAAAAAAAAAAAGGAATAAAACTTTTAATAAACCCAAACAAACAGAAAACTTGGGCATTGTACTTGTAATCTGTGCATTCAGGAAGCTAAAGCAGCAGGGTAATGAGTTGGAGGCTAGCTTGGGCTACATTTCAAGACTATCTAGTACAAAAGGAAGCAGACAAACATGTTCAGTCCAGCATACACAGCTCAGTGATTGTACTGTTCATCTTAGGAAATACTTGACCTAGGATGAACAAAGGATTCGATCGCTGACACTGGAAATATAATAGAAGTTGTATAAACTGTCTTTCAAACTATTAGCAATTAATTATTTCTTAGAGGCCGATATTAAATAAGATTTACATTTTATGTAGTATATTTTCTGGAATGTTTTGGGCTTTAAATTGTTTACATTTACTTATGTATATAGTGTTTGCACACATGTGCACAGGCCACAGTGGGAGTGTGGAGGTCAGAGGACAACTTGTAGGATTCTGTTCTTTCCTTCCACTGTAAGGGTCCCAGGAATTTAACTGAGGTTGGCAGGTTTGGTGCCAAGTGCCTTTACATACTGAACCATCCCACTGTTTGTGGGTTTGTTTGTTTGTTTTTTAACGAATTATACATTGTTATTAAAGATAAAATTTAAAAAGAAACATAAAAGGGCACAGACTGAATGGTGTTGGGAAACCAAGTTACACGTATAAGATATACACTTATTATTATTATTTTGCTGTTTTTCAAATAGAATGCCCAGTGTTTACATGGAGATATTGCACAGTCACAAAGAGAAATTACCCTGAAAGGCTTCAGAGAAGGCAGTTTTAAAGTTTTGGTGGCAACCAATGTGGCTGCCCGCGGCTTGGACATTCCTGAGGTTGACTTGGTGATTCAGAGTTCTCCTCCACAGGTAGGAAATGGGGTTTGATTTGAACAATGAGAATAGTTTTGTAAATGTTACTTTATTTATGAAGTATTGCTTAATATGTGAAAAATATATCTTTTCTTTGTTGTTGATCCTGACCTATGTTTTGTTAGGATGGCATTACATTGATCAGATATGCCACCCTTATAAATGAGTACCTTTGTTGTTTGCATCTAAAGCTTGATCAGCCTGGGTGGTGCTGACGCACACTTTTAATCCCAGCACTTGGGAGGCCGAGGCAGGTGGATCTCTGTGAGTTCAAGGCTAGCCTGGTCTACAAAGCAAGTTCCAGGACAGTTAGGGCTGTTGCACAGAGGAACCCAATCTTGGAAAAAAAATAAATAAATAAATAAAAAAGATTGATCAGTAAAATACAGGAGCCAGGAATGTGGCACATAGTTATAGTCCCAGCATTTGGGAGGCAGAGGCTGAAGGGTCACTGGGTGTTCCAGGCCAGCCATTGATTCATTCCAAATTCCTGTACAGAACTGAATGATGGCAACAGCATACACATCTCATTAAGGAATTATACAGAGTTTCATATACAGAATGCTAGTGTATGTGGATAAATAGCTGCTTTCTTTCTTTCTTCCTTTTTTTTTTTTTAAGATTTATTTATTTAGCCTTTGAGCCCCCAGCGTCCTTTCTCGTGGCGCCGGGGGTTAAGCTGCAGCGCCATAGCAATTGCTAGTGCATAACTGGTAGGTACAGGCCAGGGGGTGAGTGTTCTGTTTGCATGTGTCCCTGCAGGCCAGAAGAGGGCACCAGATCTCATTACAGATGGTTGTGAGCCACCATGTGGTTGCTGGGAATTGAACTTAGGATCTTTGGAAGAACAACCAGTGCTCTTAACCTCTGAGCCATCTC